TTCTCTGGGAATCATTAATTAAAACAGTTTTACTGTGCTTATATTAACGAAGCTCACTCATGTTGTTCAATGAATGTGACTGTGTTCAATTTTATCCACACTCTCAGAAACCTAGTGTCCCCTCTATTCCCTCCCTTTCTCTTCTCTTCTCTTCCTCTGTTTGTATCACTTATTTTTTCATTTCCATTTGGCATTTTGTAACCCTGTGTATTCATTAAAAACTTTCTAGCTTTAGTGGGTAATGCTAATTGAATAGAACATTTATGTATTGGAAGGAAAACAACAGAAATTTCTTTTAAGAGAATTGGAAGTAAATATGATATCCTGTTCTCAAGATTTAGGTTCTTTCAAAAATCAAGTAGCAAAGTAAGAAGGAAGTTGTAGGTAATGTTAAAGCACATCTTTTCCTGGAGGATTATTTTGTTGCTAAACATGCCTATTACAGGGCATATGATAATACTAAGATGAATTTTCCTTACTGTCTCCAAAAAGACCTCTGTGTTCTTTCTCTGAAACCACAAGACAAATATACATTTATTCTGTATAGGCTATGCAAACATTGCTAACAATGTGACACTATTAGTTGGAACTTAAGCAATAAACTTTTTTTTCAGTTGCCCTGGTTTGGATTTCATGGCCATAATTGTAGGGGGAGAAGCAAACTATGTTTGACTCATGAGATAGCTCTGAATGACAGCAAATCATTGAGGTGTGCAATCACTGAGATGTATAGAGGCAAATTCAGTTCCTGCAAAAATTGTATCTCCCCTCATGACATATATTTAATATTACCATTCTTTCAAAATCAAAACTGAAGACACATCATCTGAAAAATCAAAGCATATCTATGCTTGCATTAAAACATTTGGGGCTGTTATGATTAATTTCAGGCAATTTTCATACTACTTAGGATTGTTTTATGTTCTTTCTACAAGTATATAGAGGTTTTTACTGAAACACAAAGCTATAAAACTTGCTTGCATTCAAGTGTGGTTTCTGTAGGTCCTGTTTCTGGTCTAATATATTCTACAGAACTGTTCCAACTTTGAATAGTTCACTACCTGCTCTACAAAATGCACACTTTTTAAAAACAATCTCTTTGTATAAAGAATAGTAATGCCAACCAGCTCCTCTGAGCAGTAGTGAAGTATGATGCTAAATAATTCTGATGGTAGAATGATAAAAATGAGTAAACTCTCTTTTTCCTCCCTTAACCTTTATGGTTCCACTTGATTCTCAGTTCATTTTTTCCCCAAATAAATAGCAAAACGTTTGCACTATTTCAGACCTGGTAGTACAGTCTACGAATATCTTAATCTATTGTCATAGAGTTTTATTTTGTCTTCAGGCAGATGGGGCACTCTTTTGGATGTGAATGGATCAGAGACTTAACTAAGTTTCTGGAGGTTGGGAGAGAAGGAAGGAGTTCACCCCTTGTACCACACGAAATCACAGGGCTATTTTTTCTAGGTGTGGGGTCAGGGGCATGGGGATGTTAGTGCTCTAAGCACTGGTTTCCAGATGGGTTGGCTATGAAATGCAAACCTAAGCCCCTCTCAAAGAGCAGAGGAAGTAGTAATTTCCTCTGTAACTTTGTAAAGTTTAGGTGCAATTTCAAGTGCAGATTTTAATGGAATTCTCATTTCACACAAGGTTATAGGAAATGCAAAGTGAGTTGAAAAAGTATATTATTAAATTTGCATTAAGTATGTGATGGGAAGAACCTCAGAAAAATTGATCTCTCTCTGAATATGTGCCTAGGGTCTAGAATCATCTTTTCATATATTTGAGTCAAGACATACTTTCAAAGATTGATATATTCAATTTTAATTTTTTTCTGAGCTTTTAAAAATTCCTTTAAAATGTATATGTAGCTATTCAGTGTTATTTGAAAAGTACCTTGTTATAGGATGCACTTTCAGTCCACCCTCAATCCACTCTTCATAATCCTAAAACCTCAGTGTTGATGGTCCTTATGTTTGTAACTCAGATGTCTAGGACACAATATTAGGTAAATTAAATTGAACTTGACATACCTGCTGACTCCTTTAAAAAATGCCAAGGCATTACATGACAAGAGCTTAAATATTTGCCATGCACCATAGCACACTAAGCTTTTGCCATTTGGTTTTGCTTACTTTTGAACAGCTAACAATGTACCTACCTCCTTGTGATTTTAGTTTGATCTCAGTGGTGAACAATGACTGGGTTGAAATTATTTCAAATTAAATTCAACTGCCTCCTGGTTGGATGTCACAAAGCTAGATTCTTTAACTGACTTGTCATTTTAGGCTCTAATGTCCTAATGGCAGTGGTCTTAAATATAATCTGGATGCGGTATTCCGTCACTATAATCCTGAAGCATCTCCTACCAGGGAAAATACAGTGGTTAGCCAAGGCACTGATGAAGGTTTGTGTTTGTTCCCATCCTTTCCCCTCACTGAAGTAATATGGCTCATGAGAAAAGAATTATGTTAAAAATCTAGGCAAAAATCTTGGTGTTTTTACAATGGCATTGAGGATTCCTGAAGACACCCATTTCCTATTTGTGGATATTTCTATGAAAAGGATAGTATTTGTGGCTGTAAATGCACAGTCCTAGCTGGGGCATGTGTGGCTAGTAGAGAAGCTGAGAAGCTAAGGCTAATACATCTTACCCTTAGTTTACATCTATAGTCTGCTTCACTGGAATGTCAAACCAGAAGAAATCCTATCTGTAAGGACGGGAAGGTGAAATGAGAAGGAAGAACCAAGCAGAACATTACATTTTCTTTATAGGCAGATTTCATAAGGGAACTTTAGCTCATCCCACTGAGTCAGAGCTGACATTCCCCATTTGCCATGGAATAGCAAGGCAGTTCTAGCAAATTCGTGACAATGGTTTTGAATGAAAAATATTGAAAAGCATATTTATTATTTACTTTAGAATGTTTTAACTAAGAGCTGGTCATTAGGCAGAAATGATTGTTGAGAAACATCCTTATGAGCGGAAAGCAGTACTATGTCATCTCTTGAGAGAACTCATGTTATTACAACTCATTAAAGGCAAGAATTTTCCTCCCCAGAGACTTACATACAGATATTTCATTCTCCTTTATTGTATTTCATTTGAATTATCCTTTTACTTGTGGAAGCTCTAATAGTGTATATATGCATATATGTATTTATACACGAATGCATTTATTTAACATTCTAAAACTTTTTAAGGCTCTGGTTTAAATTACTTTGATCAGAAAAAAATTAAAAATAATGCATATCTATTCTGGGACATAATATTTGAGAAACAGAGATTATCAGAGGCAACGTAAGACTTTAATATTCAAGATTCAAGATAAAATATTATCTTGGCTTTTGTTTTCTTCTCATCCAATGGATACATGTGTTGGGCCCACATAATTACAGCCAACTGGATCTGAGACAGTAAAAATAGTTATTCTGATCCAAGACAGCTGTCTTCCTGAAACATTGCCTTTGGAGGTCCGGTGCATATTTGTGTCTTATTATATTGAGGAACGGATACAAATTTTAATATTGAGTCTATTGGCAGCTTTTAGACTTAGAAATACTTTTATAAGGGAAGCTGGCACCCTGTTGTCTACTATGTCTTCATAGATAACTACAATGTACATGACTCATTTAATCAAACCAGACAAAAGTTCAAAGTGGAGAGCTTTTTTGCATGGGCCAACTGACTTGACTGTCTACATGGATCAAATAAAATGGGTGATTGCCAAATCTATACTGTATTTTATACCAAGGAAAACCAGTCAAAGGGGAGGGTTGTCCTACAGAAATTGCTTAGAAGACTGGTATTTTACAAAGGAAATCTTGACATTTAGCAAAGATCGAAAAGACCAACATATTGGTAATGACATTATGTAAACACAATCTTCAGGAAAATATTTTTGGGTCATTGTTAATATTTCATGTCCAAGTAACTCCACAGGATTGAAAAGAAGATTAACCATTTTTATCTATGGTCATTTGAGTCTTTCTGTTTTGAGATTAAGCTTATTGGATCCATATTTTTAAAAGGTTTAAGCCATTCTGAAAATCAACAACAACAAAAAATCTGTCATTTTATCACACTGATTCGAAAGGCATAGTGCGCTGAGCAGAGTTAAAAAAAAGGTAAAATAATATGCAAAGGGGGCATGCAGTATGGAGAAACTATTGAGAAATGAAAAGTAAGTACATTTTAATGTTTGCCTTCCTCCACAGATGAAGGGATGAGCTCATCGATCCACTATTACCTTTTATGAATACTTAGATAAAAGAAGGGAATGGATAATCTCCCATGAAGACTCTTGGGAAGAACCTGCAATGCCCAAGAATTGACCTTTCTGCTGCTGACACATTGCTGTGTTTCAGATTACGTTTCATGTTAATTTCTTCCCTTGCAATTATGGAGCTAGGTAAGAGATGTTATTCTTGAAAAGAATACAAAACCAAGAAATGAAGGTGGAAATGATGTCTTAACCAGAATATAATTTTAAGGTTAATGTCAAAGATAGAAAATAGAAAAAAGTATTCCTTACAGAAGACTACATAAAGTCTTGGGCTTTCCACACAAGGTCCTTTGATCAGAGGTAGCACTTACTTTACATGTCACCATGCTGAATTTAACAATTGATTCTTTTTGATGAGGTCATAAATATTTGCTTGAACACAAAATATTACACACAGAAGGGCCATCTCCTATGATGACCCCAATTCACATACCATGGTGTGTTTTGGTCCCATTGGGCATCTTTCTCATGATTATGTACACAAGCTGGACTCTTTTGTGTGGTAGAGACCTTTCCTTCCCAGCACTTGACTTAGTGGACATATCCTTCACATGTGCAGAGTGGAGGGGCCACAGAGGATCGAGTTTTGATGACTCAGAAGCAGGCATTTTCCTAGGAAACTAGAGCCTCCCACAGGTTCTTGCAGCAACCTGCTTCCACATAGATGGTGGCTTCTAAGCTCAGTGAGGGTCTGAATGGCATGAGACCCACTTAGGGCAATGGAGCGGTTTCTGCTTCCAGATTTTCTAGCTGAAAAAAGAAAGAGCAAAGACAGTGAGCATTTCAAATTGGATTGCAGTGCACATTTATCGGGCATCTTCTGTGTGTCAGAACTGTCCTGAGGGCCCTCAGTATACTTTCACCTGCAACCTTCAGAGCTTTTCCTAAATGTCAAGACATTAATTAATCTCTTGGGTCATTATGAATAATCTGCTATTGCATTTGTACACACTAATACATAAGAATTATACACTGGTCATCAAAGAGATATAATTGATACTGGCTTCCTTGAAAAAATACATTTTCAATCCAAAACCCTTATCTCCCTCTGTTCTTGACCCTCTTTCTCCTTCTTTCTCCTCAAATTATTCATGACTTGACAAAAATTTCAGAAGAAAAAGCAGTGTCTCTCTTTGCAATACCTTTCATGTTCTTCATTTCTAGATGAAGGCATTTTTATTTTTCACTCAGTTCTAAAATTAATGGATTTTTTTTTCTGAAGCAACTAATTTGAAGTACAGGGATTTCGTCATCCCCACTTCCATTGTAAAGCTGGCATACACATGGAGCAATAACATGATGTTTGTTCACACACATAAAAATATGGCTTGATATTTTCAAATATGGGAGGAGAATTGTGGGAAAGAAATATGTTTTGTAATTAACAAGTAATCACTGCTGTCATTGTTACTATAGTTTTTGGTGAGATGGAAAGGAAGTGTTTATAGAGTCAGTGTAAAGGGATGAGAGGGTTTTTCCTTTAACTTTATTTTGGTAAATTTCACACTTCAGTAAAAGTGCAAGAATGAGAATAGCATAAAGAACACTTGTGTACATTTTACCCAGACTCACCTGCTATTAACATTTTATCCCATGTGTTTTATTGTTCGCTTTCTATTCCTTTTTTCTGTCTTCTTCTACACACACACACACACACACACACATTATCTCTCTGAATTATTTGATACTCAGTTGAATTTTTGTCACTACACATTTCAACATATATTTCCTAAGAATAAGAAATAGAAAGATCAGAATCGCCATTGGAAAGGCGGTCTACCATGGGCCCTGGGTTTCCTGCACATTCTTGCTGACTGTGCCAAACTACAAGGCTCAACTGTCCTCTGGCCTGGAACAGTTTCTGCCAAGGTGACCACAGCATTGATCACCGTGGGAAGTGTCTGTTTGTTTATTGCTTGCCCCAAAAGGGGCTGAGACTTTAGCTCTAGGTTCCTTAACTGTGACACAACCCATTAAGTGTGCAGTTGCCATCTGGTCCCATCACGCTGCCCTGTGGGATTTGGGGGCAGAAGATGCACTGCTATGCTAAAGTTTCTGCTGTTGCTGTGCTGTGAGTACTAAACTGTCTGACTTTCCTCTACTTTTGGCACCTAAAGAGTTGTGGCAAGACAACCTGCTTGCTTGCTCAGTCAAGAATCTGGTTACTTCTCGCCATCTTCTGAGAGGTCCTTCCCAAACTGGCACCACAAGCAGGATGTCAAGATAGACAATGACTTTTTGGGAGAGAAAAGGCAAGGGCTCATGGACTGGGTCTGAGAATATGAAGAAACTCTTTGGGACCTGGTAGCAAATGTTCTGACCAAAGTGGTACAGAAAGGTGGAGTAGGTTGTCCACTCTGGTCCTCCCTGTTGATGAACATGACTCAGGTCAATGGATGGGGGCTGAGTGGTGAGGGATAAAGTCTAACCAATTGCCCAAATGGTGCCATGGTTGTTGTTTGCTGTCCTGTGGACTAGGAGGCTAAGAGAGCACTCTGAGCCCCACCAGGGAGGAGAGCACAGATTCACCAGTTTTAAGTCAAGACTAGAAACAACTAGAGGGCAAATGCCTCTATAATGAATACTAAGATATAGACCCATAGTGAGAGGGAAAAGAGGGATATCCAGGAGTACTTTGATCAACTGGCTGAGGAATTGTTAGACATGTGGCTGATGAAGGAGTTAGGGAGTTTATGCTCTTAGTGAACAAAGCACTTATGCCCTCTTACAGGAGACCCCATGTTTTAAGCCAGTGTGCAGATCATTTAACAGGGACAGAATCATGCCTCACAATGAGGTATGCTATTGTGTATTTCTGTTTCAATTATCACATTATGACCAAACCAAGGAGACTTCCTTGAGGCCAATAAAATCCCATGAAACCTTAGGAGAAAGCTACTCAAAGGCTGAGGTGACTCTAGACTTGTTCCTTCCTGAACAGAATGACAGCCTGATTATGATCCCACATCCAGAGAATGACCGGTTCCTTTTTAAGATTACCCCCATCCCTGCAAGGTGTAGCATTCTACTTTATTTTTTTTTGGTGAGAGACCCCGTGCTGGAAGTTGTGCTTGGGGCCATTAGATGGCCAGGATAAAGATAGCACTCTCTAGACCAGGCAGTCTCTGCAATCTAGGACAAGGGCCAGGATGGGAACATCCAATGTCCTCCAAACTGTAAGGCAATGGGATAAGCCTCTTAACATGGGGGATCCCAAAGTAAAGGCTGATGGGATAATCACCAAAGAAATGCAGTCCACATATAAGGCTATGATGGGTCCCAAGGGGGTGGTTAGTAGTTCATACAAATAAAACTCTGTGTGCCTCTGTAGAACCAGATTCCTTTGCGGAGACCAATTTCCCTCTAATGAGGAACTAGGAAGCCATGTGGCTGCCTTAGAGCAAATTTCTCCCTCAGAACCTCTACTGCCTGACCCGCATTTCTGTATCATGCCTTGAAAACCTTTAAGGATAAGGGACATGGTAAGGTATTTTCATTTCCAGCAGGAATCAGAGGCTTCATACCCTTAGAATGGCAGAATGGGGTAGGGGAGAAAGGTAAGGGGTGGGGGGTGAATATAAAGTTGTATGGTTTTTTTTTTTTTTGGGTGCTTGTGCCCAAAGGACTAACATGCTAAGTTCTCTTGAGAGGCGAGGACTACACATTCAATTAGCCAGATTTGAAACAGAATCAAATGGGAAAAGGAAGTGGCTGTTTGGACCCCTGTTATGCACCATTTTTGTTGCTCCCAAGACTGAATGTGTAATTGGTATTGATAATTTACATGTTTGTTCTGTGAGGCTCATAATGTCCAAAGGAGATCTTCTTATGGAAGATATGGAAGATATGGAAGAGCTTCTTGTAGGTGGGTGACGTGGGAGATGCATGCACAACAGATCACACCTCCACTTCAGTTTCTCTTCCATGGTCTATAAAAGAAACAATTTAGAATTCCAGGAGAAGAAAAGGAAATCATAGTTTAAATGTAATAGTACTTATGAAAAACACAGTATCTTAATATAGTAGATCTGTGTGGCTAGTGAAAAAAGCTAAGGTGATCTGGAGGCTTATGCAGGATAATTGCCAACTGAATTCAGTTGCTGTTCCTACAACCTGGCTACTCCAGCCATTGTGACTATGACTGAAGCAATTGCCCATGATGGCACCTGGTATGTGATCCTGGACTTTGGTCACATCTTTTTCTCAACTGCTTTAGCCTCTGGAGGATCCAGATCCTTCACCTAGATGAGCCTCCAGAACATACTGTGCTGTAGTAGTAATACTTGAACTCTCCTGATATTTGCCCCCAGTAGGTAGGTTGGCACACAGAACAAATCTCTCTCTTTTTGTTGGTGACATGATCCTACTACATTGATGATATTATCTTGATAAGCCCTAATTAAGTTAGCAGATGCTAACTCATATGAAGCCCAGGAAAGCTTGTTAATTCTGATAAGATACAGGGACCAGCCACCCAAGTCAAAATTCTGGGAGTGATGTGGGCTACAACTCAAAAGTTGATCCTAAAGACAGTAAAGAGAAGAGGACTATGGCTCTCTACCATCAGAAAGGCAGTCTCACAATTGCACCATTCAGGTATTGGAGATAATATGTATCTTATCAGTGTATACATTTGTTGAGTCTGAAAGTTAATCAGAAAATCTGCTGAATTTGACTGAGGACCTAAGCAGCCTATGACCCTGGAGGTTGTTCCAACACCCCAGCCCCAGGGCCCTTTTGAGCTCCATAGGAGGAGGTAGCCTTCACAAGGAGAACCCTTTAATGCCTCCTTGGTACAATTACCCACTTCAGTTGGGGAAGGAACTCCTTAAATGTTGGAGGTGCTGGGAGAGGAAAATAATGAACCCTCTCTTTGTCTCCAAATTCTAGCTCTACAACCTGGCAAGACAATCACGTGGTTCACTGAGACAAGAAGCATCTCTGACTGCCAACCTGACCAACTGCTGGGTAGGTCTATGTGCTGTGGGATCAGGAAAACTCATAAGGGCTTGGCTGGCCCTGAGTTACTCTATTGTGTCTTATGTTATCAGAGAAAACTCCTAAATGTGAATCCCCTTGCCCATGTACAAATGCACAGATAGATGTGATCTTGTTTTAGTCAGGCTCATACCAATTCATATGTTTTTCCCAACACCTGAGTGCTCTTGGGTTATGCCATGTATGACTATCAAGGCTATAACTACTTGATAACCCTGCTCCTATGGACTATCCAAATTAATGTAATGGTGATCCAAATCAAATTTATGGACAAAGTCTGAACTAAAGTAACCTGTCCTGTCAGTTATATGTTTGTATGTGGAGAGAATGGGCCACAGGATATCTCTCTACTGGGCATGGTTGGGGGCTGCTGGTTAACTCTTCTTTGTCCCTTGCAATTATTGGCAATGACACCATTCCTTGGATCACATTCTATTTTTTAGGACCCCAGATAAAGAGGGCTGTCTGATGCTGTCTGACCTGAGGGATATGTGGATTCCTGTTTTCATGTAGCAGTGTGAAAATTGTCCCCCGCCATCAGATTCCACATTGTAGAGACAGTTAGGAACATATCCTTTACTTTAGCTACCATAGCCAATGAGATGGAACAAGCCATAGGAGATCAACAGATCAGGTTAAACTCTCTGGTTGTAAATGGATCATTGATTGGCCTTAGACTACATTGTTGTTGATATGATTGAATTAATTTGTTGTATTTGAATTCATATCAACAGTTCATGCATACTATAAGA